TATCTCAAGAACGCAACATCTTACGTAATTATTAAGTAAATAGCCTAATTTTTCAAAAAACACCATATCTTACGGTAAGTTATAGTGTAAAAGCATAAACGCAACATCTTACCCCATAATTTATTGAGTAAAAAGCCTAATTTTCCAAAAAACCCATCTTGCCGGTAAGTTATAGTGTAAAAAGCCTATATATCTAAGAACGCAACATCTTACCCGAATTTTTTTAAGTAAATTGCCTAATTTTTCCAAAAAACATCATATGCTTAACTGTAATTATAGTGTAAAAGCATATATATCTTAAACGCAACATTTACACATTTTATTAAATAAATAGCCTAATTTCCCAAAAACACCATATCTTGCCGGTAAGTTATAGTGTAAAAGCCATATAATCTGAGAACGCAACATCTTACTGTAATTTATTAAGTAAATAGCCTAATTTTCCAAAACACCATATCTTACCGGTAAGTTATAGTGTAAAAAGCCTATATATCAGAAGAACCAAAATCTTGCAAGTAATTTATTAAGTAATAGCATAAGTTATCCAAAAAAACACCCATATCTTACTGGTAAAAGTTATAGTGTAAAAAGCCTACAAATCTGAGAACGCAACATCTTACCCTTAATTTATTAAGTAAATAGCCTAATTTTCCAAAAACACCATATCTTGCCGGTAAGTTATAGGGTTAAAAAGACTGTATATCTAAGAACGCAACATCTTACCCGTAATTTTTTAAGTAAATTGCCTAATTTTCAAAAAACATCATATCTTACCGGTAAGTTATAGTGTAAAAAGCCTATATATCTGAGAACGCAACATCTTACACATAATTTATTAAATAATAGCCTAATTTTCAAAAACACCATATTTACCGGAAGTTATAGTGTAAAAAGCCTATATCTCAAAGAACGCAACATCTTACAAGTAATTTATTAAGTAAATAGCCTAATTTTCAAAAACACCATATCTTACCGGTAAGTTTTAGTGTAAAAAGCCTATAATCTGAGAACGCAACATCTGACCCATAATTTATTAAGGAATAGCCTAATTTTCCAAAAACACATATCTTGCCGGTAAGTTATAGTGTAAAAAGCCTATATATCAGAGAACGCAACATCTTACAAGTAATTATTAAGTAAATAGCCTAATTTCCCAAAACACCATATCTTACCGGTAAGTTATAGTGTAAAAAGCCTATATATCAGAGAACGCAACATCTTACACGTAATTTATTAAGTAAATAGCCTAATTTCCCAAAAACACCATATCTTCCGGTAAGTTATAGTGTAAAAAGCCTATATATCTGAGAACGCAACATCTTACCCTTAATTTATTAAGTAAATAGCCTAATTTTCCAAAAACACCATATCTTGCCGGTAAGTTATAGTGTAAAAAGCCTATATATCAGAGAACGCAACATCTTACAAGTAATTTATTAAGTAAATAGCCTAATTTCCCAAAAACACCATATCTTACCGGTAAGTTATAGTGTAAAAAGCCACAAATCTGAGAACGCAACATCTTACCCTTAATTTATTAAGTAAATAGCCTAATTTTCCAAAAACACCATATCTTGCCGGTAAGTTATAGGGTAAAAGACTGTATATCTAAGAACGCAACATCTTACCCGTATTTTTTAAGTAAATTGCCTAATTTTCAAAAAACACCATATCTTACCGGTAAGTTATAGTGTAAAAGCCTATATATCTTAGAACGCAACATCTTACACATAATTTATTAAATAATAGCCTAATTTTCAAAAAACACCATATTTTACCGGAAGTTATAGTGTAAAAAGCCTATATCTCAAAGAACGCAACATCTTACAAGTAAGTTATTAAGTAAATAGCCTAATTTTCAAAAAACACCATATCTTACCGGTAAGTTTTAGTGTAAAAAGCCTATAAATCTGAGAACGCAACATCTGACCCATAATTTATTAAGTGAATAGCCTAATTTTCCAAAAACATCATATCTTGCCGGTAAGTTATAGTGTAAAAGCCTATATATCAGAGAACGCAACATCTTACAAGTAATTTATTAAGTAAATAGCCTAATTTCCCAAAACACCATATCTTACCGGTAAGTTATAGTGTAAAAAGCCAATAAATCTGAGAACGCAACATCTTACCCTTAATTTATTAAGTAATAGCTTAATTTTCCATAAACACCATATCTTGCGGTAGTTACAGTGTAAAAAGCCATATATCGAAGAACGCTACATCTTACCCATAACTTATTAAGTACATAGCCTAATTTTTCCAAAAACACCATATCTTACTGTAAGTTATAGTGTAAAAGGCCTATAATCTGAGAACGAAACATTATACCTGTAATTTATTTAGTGAATTGTCTAATTTTTCAAAACACCATATCTTACCGGTAAGTTATAGTGTAAAAGTGCTATATCTAAGAACGCAACATCTTACCCTAATTTATTAAGTAAATAGACTATTTTCAAAAACACCATATCTTACCGGTAAGTTATAGTGTAAAAAGCCTATATATCTGAGAACGCAACATCTTACCCGTAATTTATTACGTGAATTGCCTATTTTTCGAAAAACACCATGTCTTATCGGTAAGTTGTAATGTAAAGTGCCTATATCTGAGAAGGCAACATCTTACCCGTAATTTTTTTGACTAAATAGCCAATTTTTCTAAAAACACCATATCTTATAGGTAACTTATAGTGTAAAACGCATAACGCAACATCTTACCCATAATTTATTGAGTAAAAAGCCTAATTTTCCAAAAACACCATATCTTGCCGGTAAGTTATAGTGTAAAAAGCCTATATATCTAAGAACGCAACATCTTATCTGTAATTTATTCACTAAATACCCTAATTTTCCAAAAACACCATATCTTACCGGTAATTTATAGTGTAAAAAGCCAATATATCAGAGAACGCAACATCTTGCAAGTAATTTATTAAGTAAATAGCCTAAGTATCCAAAAACACCATATCTTACTGGTAAGTTATAGTGTAAAAAGCCTACAAATCTGAGAACGCAACATCTTACCCTTAATTTATTAAGTAAATAGCCTAATTTTCCAAAACACCATATCTTGCCGGTAAGTTATAGGGTAAAAGACTGTATATCTAAGAACGCAACATCTTACCCGTAATTTTTTAAGTAAATTGCCTAATTTTCAAAAACATCATATCTTACCGGTAAGTTATAGTGTAAAAAAGCCTATATATCTTAGAACGCAACATCTTACACATAATTTATTAAATAATAGCCTAATTTTTCAAAAAACACCATATTTTACGGGAAGTTATAGTGTAAAAAGCCTATATATCAGAGAACGCAACATCTTACAAGTAATTTATTAAGTAAATAGCCTAATTTTCCAAAACACCATATCTTACCGGTAAGTTTTAGTGTAAAAAGCCTATAAATCTGAGAACGCAACATCTACCCATAATTTATTAAGTGAATAGCCTAATTTTCCAAAAACACCATCTTGCCGGTAAGTTATAGTGTAAAAAGCCTATATATCTGAGAACGCAACATCTTACAGTAATTTATTAAGTAAATAGCCTAATTTCCAAAACACACCATATCTTACCGGTAAGTTATAGTGTAAAAGCCAATAATCTGAGAACGCAACATCTTACCCGTAATTTATTAAGTAAATAGCCTAATTTTCCAAAAACACCATATCTTCCGGTAAGTTATAGTGTAAAAAGCCTATATATCTAAGAACGCAACATCTTACCCTAATTTATTAAGTAAATAGCCTAATTTTCCAAAAACACCATAGCTTACCCGGTAAGTTATAGTGTAAAAAGCCTATATATCAGAGAACGCAACATCTTACAAGTAATTTATTAAGTAAATAGCCTAATTTTCCAAAAACACCATATCTTACCGGTAAGTTTTAGTGTAAAAAGCCTATAAATCTGAGAACGCAACATCTTACACCCTTAATTTATTAAGTAAATAGCCTAATTTTCCAAAACACCATATCTTGCCGGTAATTATAGGGTAAAAAGACTGTATATCTAAGAACGCAACATCTTACCCGTAATTTTTAAGTAAATTGCCTAATTTCCAAAAACATCATATCTTACCGGTAAGTTATAGTGTAAAAAGCCTATATATCTTAGAACGCAACATCTTACACATAATTTATTAATAATAGCCTAATTTTCAAAAACCCCATATTTTACCGGTAAGTTATAGTGTAAAAAGCCTATATCTCAAGAACGCAACATCTTACAAGTAATTTATTAAGTAAATAGCCTAATTTTCAAAAACACCATATCTTACCGGTAAGTTTAGTGTAAAAAGCCTATATATCGAGAACGCAACATCTTACCCATAATTTATTAAGTAAATAGCCTAATTTTCCAAAACACCATATCTTGCCGGTAAGTTATAGTGTAAAAAGCCTATATCTAAGAACGCAACATCTTACCGTAATTTTTTAAGTAAATAGCCTAATTTTCAAAACACCATATCTTACCGGTAAGTTATAGTGTAAAAAGCCATATTTTTTTTTTTTTTTTTTTTTTTTTTTTTTTTTTTTTTTTTTTTTTTTTTTTTTTTTTTTTTTTTTTTTTTTTTTTTTTTTTTTTTTTTTTTTTTTTTTTTTTTTTTTTTTTTTTTTTTTTTTTTTTTTTTTTTTTTTTTTTTTTTTTTTTTTTTTTTTTTTTTTTTTTTTTTTTTTTTTTTTTTTTTTTTTTTTTTTTTTTTTTTTTTTTTTTTTTTTTTTTTTTTTTTTTTTTTTTTTTTTTTTTTTTTTTTTTTTTTTTTTTTTTTTTTTTTTTTTTTTTTTTTTTTTTTTTTTTTTTTTTTTTTTTTTTTTTTTTTTTTTTTTTTTTTTTTTTTTTTTTTTTTTTTTTTTTTTTTTTTTTTTTTTTTTTTTTTTTTTTTTTTTTTTTTTTTCAGGGAAAAAAAGGATGTATATTATAGACAAAATTTGTACATTATATATTATAGACAAAATTAGTACATATAAAAATATCAAGTGTTCCAAAAATCCTCTAATCCATATGAAGGCAAACAAACTCTGCCCATTCTTTCCTGACTTCATCAATGGCTGCTTGGGGGTATGGCGCTTGATCTTTTCCCTTGGCAAACTGCAATCCATAAACAACGATTATTAAGCTTTACAAAATAAAAAGAAATTCAGTCACAGACGACGTTTTTTTATAACCGACGTAGTCTATCGATTCAACGACGGTAATTTTAAATGACCGTCGTTGATAATACAAAAACCAAATAAAATGTTTCTGAAAATTTTTTTCTTACCTTCTTCTCAAACTCCAAGGAAGGATCCATGATGATGTCCCTCATGAAGCGCATGACATAATACCCGCATTCGACACTGCTGGGTTGCTTTGGTGTGCCTGGCAGAGTTTTCCAAATTGGTGCTTTACGGCCTGGTCTGCCTATGTGGGAATTATAAATTTTTAAAGCACTGTTCACGATGTTTTTGCCCTCCTCATCCACCACACGATTTCCAGGCAGAGGATCCAGAAAATAGACGGTTTCCCTCTTTGCCCTCACAATCAGCAAGACCCAATGACGGCTGCACAAAAATAAAATAAAAAACGACGGTTATTTATAAAAACCGACGTATTATATAGTTTCACACGACGTAAGAACTTAATCATCGACGTGATTATAAATTTATCACGACGAGAATTAACTACCGACGTGGTTAGTTGTTTCAAACGATGGTATAAATAAATAACCGACGTGGTTAGATGTTTCAAACGACACAGAATTAGTTAAACAGTTTTATAAGTGAAAATCATACAAACAAAATCCATTTAAGGAGACTAACCCTGGATTGTAAGGCATCATGAAAATCTGTTCACCATCTGTTTTCTGAAGTCGACTGGCTACAATTCGTGATCTGTCAGTTAGTGACCCAGCGTTGGCACTAACTTGAGCAGGGTCGATAAAGCCAACCATGCTGCACATATTTGCTTCTCTCAAAAGATCATATAAGCACCTAAATATATAAAACAAACGACGGTTATTTATACACAAACGACGTATTATATAATTTCACACGACGAACTGAAATAGAAACAGACGTGATAACTAATTTATCACGACGGTAAAAAGAACGACGTGGTTAGTGATTTAAAACGACGCAATAATTAAACAACCGACGTCTTATGATATAATGTTTGATATTTGATTAGGACAAACCTCATATATACTGCAACCACAGTAGCCCCAATTTCTTCCATGCCTGCAAATTGTGTAATATCTTCATGCAAGACGAAGGTACTTCGATCTGCACCAAACACCTCCTTCTCAATGTTGAAAGTCATGATCTTCCCCTGTGGCTTTAGTGTAGTTTCCACATAACCACAAAGGGATTGTAAGGAAGATGGCACCTCCACATTTGAATAATCGAGTACTTCATCACCCTGTTTAAAGAAATAAAGCAAAATAAATTGTTGTGGTAATTCATTAAAAACGACGGCTTAAATTAAACAACGTCGTCTGATTATAATTTAAACGACGGTAATTAAATACCGTCGTTTTAGATTATTTATTACGTCGTAGAAAATAAATTCCGACGTCTAATGTTAAAACAAACGACGGTTTAAAGTAAAATATTGACGTCTGAAATGTGAAAAACAAATTAAAAAGGCAAAGTTATGAGAATATACCTCCTCGTCATGCTTTTCTTCATCTTGTTTTTCTTCTTTCTTCTCTTCAACATTTGTGTCTTCCTCTTTGCCTTCATCTTTATTCTCTTTTTTCTTCCTTCTTCCCTTCATCAATGTGTTCTCCCATCTTCTGTTCATCTTTATTTTCTTCTCTCTTCTCTTCATCTTGATTATCTAAAGCCCCAGATTTCTGTTTTAAATAATAAAGAAATATATATATAAGACAGATTGTACAGAGAGTAAAAAATTAAACCAAAACGTCGTGGTAAGGCATAACATAAGACGGTATGTAAGAATTATGGACGTCTTAAAATTATTAAACGATGGTAAATAATAAACGTCGTGGTAATTTTATATCACGTCGTTGAGGACAAAAACCGTCGTCTAAAAGCCACAAAGTACGACGTCTAATGGCGTGTAAAACAAGTAAACTAAATACGACGTGGTATTTAAATAAACACGACGGGTTATTTACAAAATCGTCGTGGTATGGTTTTAAAACGACGGGTTTATTCATAATAACGACGTCTAATGTTAAAAAAAAACAGGGAATTCAAAGTTCAGTTATGTTACCGTTTGTTCTTGCTGTTCCCCATTTCTGGCAGTATCATCCTCTAAATGTAGGGATCTCACGTCAGCCCCAGAACAGCTTGCTTTATCAGACATTGGATTCATGGGACTTGTTTTCGGTTTAAGCATGCTTGGATCAAAATTGGGGATGAGGTGGGAAAGCTGACTTAGTAAATGTTCCCTCTCAGCCTCTACTAATTGTTTGGTTCTAGCTTCCATCTTCTTAGTCTCTTCTTGAAGGACAATTCTTACACTTTCCTTCAATTGATCAGCAAACTTCACCCTTTGTGGTCTAGGTAAATTGAAGAATTGCCTAGGGGAAATCCCAGCACCTACCCTCTTACTCTCCCTGGATGCTCGGGACCCAAAGCCATGGTCAACACATCATTACTGCCAGTTATACTCAGACTGCCTTCAGCCACTTGTTTTTGCAAGTCATCCTAAAACAAAGACAAAAAAAAAGTCAGCACAAGAAAATACACGACGGTTATTTATAAACAAACGACGCATTATATAATTTCACACGACGGACCAATATAGAAATCGACGTTATAATATCTTTATAACGACGTTAATTAAAACCGACGTGGTTAGTTTCTTAAAACGACGCAATAAATAAACCACCGACGTCTTATGCTGTAATTACAGAAAACAGAGTTGTGATTTCAGATTTAGATATTTCACGACGTTTTTGAAAACATTTCGACGTAGTAATAACATTAACACGACGGAAAACATTAACCACCGACGTCTTATGCTATAATTACAGAAAACAGAGTTGTGATTCCAGATTTATATCTTTCACGACGTTTTTAAAATATTTCGACGTAGTAAAATCATTCACACGACGGAAAAAATATAATATAAGACGTAGTAAGAATTCTACACAGTAATATAAAAATTTAAAACAGAGTGTGTAGGCTTACAATTAATTTTGCTTTCTCTGCCACCTTTGGATCCGGGATGTTACCAAGTTTGTCCTGTCTAGCTTTCTTCCATAAGGTAGATCGATCAATTTCTACCCCAGGCATGGTTTCCTCCAATTGATCCTCCAAACCAGCATATCCTTTTCGAGACAATCGATGATTGTACTCAAGTTTCTCCCTAATCTGTGCATGTTGAGAATGCACAGACTCAAAGTCTTTGGATAACCTTGAAGCTACAAAGGCATCCCATTCTGCTTTCTCTATGAATTTATATACTGCAGGGGGTTGGCTTAATTTCTCCCTCTCATTGATGTATGGAAGGATATAATGCCTCGTCAGTGTAGACTTGAAATCCTTCCATTTCTTGGCAGCAGAAGATAACACCGAGGTCTTGCCCCCTTGACCTACCACAAAAGCCATGTCAACGGCTTCCCAAATCTGCTCCTTTATATCATTGGGGATGTCAGCCCATTTCTTGTCCACAAGTGGGACTCTGGAGCGTGCCAACACACCAATGTAGGACTGCATCTCAGTATGTGCAGGGCCCACATCCTTTCCCCCTTTTATTGTACTCAACAACTGGCTTGATTTTCTGCAATTTTCTCTTCACAACACGAGGCATTGTGCTCATACCTCGACCTGACTTTGAATCCTCAGAAATTGTTGTCGTGCTGCTTGGTTCTTTCTCAGCAGATGTAACAAACTTCATCTTCTTCAAGGGCTTGTCTTGAGGAGTTACCATTCCAAGCTCCTTACCTCCATTTTTTTTGGAGCCAGAGTACTTACTTTGGTCTTGAGAAACCATGGTTACAGAATAAACAAACCTGCAAGTGAAAATATTTCGTGAAAAAAATTAGAACACAAACGACGGTTATTTATAAACTACGACGTATGATAAGATTTTACACGACGTAATAACATAACATCAGACGTAATAAATGATTAAAGAAGAACAATATAAATGTTTAAACAACGACGAAAAAATATTAAATAAGACGTAATAAGAACTTATTACGTCGATATTTACACGACGTCGTGATATTCATATTGACACGGCGTAAATATTAATATAACGTCGTGTTATGTATATTCACACGACGTGAATAATAAGCTACCGTCGTATTTATAAGAAACCAAAAACATTTTTCTTTCTTTGTGAATGTTTGATTGTAGGTTTCATTTCTCTGAAACATGGTTTTTGTTTTTCCTAATTTGATAAAATACAAAGAAAAAAAGCTTTCTCATCTTTTTATAGACGACGGTATCTTATTATAACGTCGTGGTATGAACATTCACACGGCGTCAATAATAAGATACCGTCGTCTATATAAGATACCAAACCCTACTTTCTTTGTCTCTGTATTTTATCATATTAGGAAAAACGAAAACCATGGTTCAGAGAAATCAAACCTGCAACTAAACAAGCAAATAAAAAATTGAATGTCATTTTAAAAACAACTTAGATCAATTTTAAGACGACGCTAGGACGACTGACGAACCGTCGTGGTCTACGTATTTAACCACGTAAATAAAAAGCTACCGTCGTCTTATTTAGTTGAGTTAGTTATGTTCAAAGTTCAATCTTTCCCTCTCTGTCTGTGTATTTTATCAAACTTGGAAACAAAAAAATGATTTTCGCCAGAAAAAAGGTAAAAAGATTTTCAAAACAAAAACAGTATGAGCATGCAATATAGCAACAAAAATAGTGAGAAATGAAAGCTTACCTTTTGCGTGCAATGAAAGCTTTCTCTCGGATTTTGGTGTTTAAGTTCAGAGGCGACGATGAAGACAAGAGGAAGACGATGAGATACTCTGACAGTGCTCTGACAAGGAAAAAAGACGAAAAGTTTTCTCTGGGAGATTGAAATGTTTTCTCGGGTTTGGAAACAGTGCATGTGTAAGTCAGGTAGACGAAAAGTTGTATATGTATACAAACCGTTTCATAGTAATAAGACGGCGGTTTACATAGAACGACGACGTATTAATAGACAAACTACGACGCTAATTTGAACTTATGACGTGGTACATAAATACGACCGTAGTGTTGTTGGTACCGCCGTAGTAAACTCCTAAATAAAAGTCGATAACTCAATATCTCGCGTCATGGTAGAAATATTTAACACGACGGTTGTTTTAAAGTTACGACGTTTATTTTTATAATATACGTCGTTTTATTGTAATATACCGACGTGGATAACACTAAACTAAAACGACGTATTATTTTTCCGACGACGTGGATTCGTTTTTAAACGTCGTTATGTGTAATATAACCGACGTGGATTTTATTTTTTTTATTATAAATATAATTCTTTTCCCCTTTTTCTTATAGTGTATTTTTCAAAAACAGTGCCTTATAGATATAGTTTTTTTTCCCGAGGAAATTAATGTTCTAGAATTTGTAAAGTTTCTTTTCTAGGTGACTGATTTAAATCAAATAAAAATATAAAACAACGACTGTTTTTGTTATACCGTCGTCGTTTCTTGTCGTTTTAAGTAAGAATAAAACGACGTAATATATTTGTTACCGACGAGAATTGTTTTTTTTAAACGTCGTTATGTGTAATATAACCGACGTGGATTTGGTTTTTTAATTATAAATAGGGTTTTTTTTCCACGGGTTCTTTCAGTTTTAGTATTCGATTAGGGTTTCAACTTCTTCTTGCCCCTTTCTCTGTCTCACCTCATCTCTTGGGAAGTTTTAGGAGTCAATTGTTTGGATGTGAATGTGTGTGTGCGTTTGTGTAGATACACAAACGCACATACATCATTCACTTCCAAAAAATTGTCTCTCTGATTGCAAATCTGTGGCTGCCGTCATGAAATTTTAGGAGGCAATTGTTTGGATGTGAATGTGTGTGTGCGTTTGTGTAGATACACAAACGCACACACATCATTCACTTCCAAAAAATTGTCTCTCTGATTGCAAATCTGAGGCTGCCGTCGTCAAATTTCAGAGGCAATTTTTTGGATGTTAATGTGTATGTGCGTTTGTGTATCTCAAAGACACAAATACACATACATCATTAACCTCTAAAATATTGTCTTTCTGGTAAGATTATAATGAGCAACAGATCTGGAGTTCCATCTTGTAAGATTTCCTAACCCTTGTGATCTCAGAATAATCTGATTATGTCGGCGGTTTTCTATATAAACCGTCGTGGTTATTTCAATTCTTGTCGTTAGGTAGATCTACCGACGTAGGATAACAAAATCGAAGAAATAAATTTTTAAAAAAAATTCTTATTCAGACGACGGTTTAAATATAATTTATGACGTATAAAGTGGACAAATACGACGTTAAATTCTATAATACGTCGTTATATGAAAACCCCAACTTGGTAAGATTGAAAGATGTCGTCGTAGAAATACGAGAAAGACGTCGTTATATTTACCTTTGCCGTAGTTGTACATTAATTTAATACGGCGGTATTTTGTATTTTACCGCCGTGGATTTATTTGTAATTTTACGTCGCCTTATACGAAAACTTGGTCGTGTTAATTTCTGGGTAAAAACGACGGCTTTTTTTGAAACCGTCGTCTTTACTTTCTACGTCGGTCGGTTCATAACTTCCGCCGTTATTTGTTGGCTATGATTTTACCTCATGAAAATCCTATTTCAATAAGACGTCGGTTTTTAAATTAAGTACGTCGTGTTTTTGGAACAGCCATTTGAAACTCCATTTTTTAGTTGTCTAATGTGTTATTACACGGCGGTTTTATAAAACCGTCGTCTTTTAAAAAACAACGACGGTTTTCACGTAGACCGTCGTGTTTTTGTGGTCGTCTTTTTCACTTTTGTAGTAGTGAAGGCAACATCTTACCCTTAATTTTTTAAGTAAATAGCCTAATTTTCCAAAAACACCATATCTTGCCGGTAAGTTATAGGGTAAAAAGACTGTATATCTAAGAACGCAACATCTTACCCGTAATTTTTTAAGTAAATTGCCTAATTTTCAAAAAACATCATATCTTACCGGTAAGTTATAGTGTAAAAAGCCTATATATCTTAGAACGCAACATCTTACACATAATTTATTAAATAATAGCCTAATTTTCAAAAAACACCATATTTTACCGGGAAGTTATAGTGTAAAAAGCCTATATCTCAAAGAACGCAACATCTTACAAGTAAGTTATTAGGTAAATAGCCTAATTTTCAAAAAACACCATATCTTACCGGTAAGTTTTAGTGTAAAAAGCCTATAAATCTGAGAACGCAACATCTGACCCATAATTTACTAAGTGAATAGCCTAATTTTCCAAAAACAACATGTCTTGCCGGTAAGTTATAGTGTAAAAAGCCTATATCTCAAAGAACGCAACATCTTACAAGTAAGTTCTTAAGTAAATAGCCTAATTTTCAAAAAACACCATATCTTACCGGTAAGTTTTCGTGTAAAAAGCCTATATATCAGAGAACGCAACATCTTACAAGTAATTTATTAAGTAAATAGCCTAATTTCCCAAAAACACCATATCTTACCGGTAAGTTATAGTGTAAAAAGCCAATAAATCTGAGAACGCAACATCTTACCCTTAATTTATTAAGTAAATAGCTTAATTTTCCATAAACATCATGTCTTGCCGGTAAGTTATAGTGTAAAAAGCCTATATATCAGAGAACGCAACATCTTACAAGTAATTTATTAAGTAAATAGCCTAATTTCCCAAAAACACCATATCTTACCGGTAAGTTATTGTGTAAAAAGCCAATAAATCTGAAAACGCAACATTTTACCCTTAATTTATTAAGTAAATAGCCTAATTTTCCAAAAACACCATATCTTGCCGGTAAGTTATAGGGTAAAAAGACTGTATATCTAAGAACGCAACATCTTACCCGTAATTTTTTAAGTAAATAGCCTAATTTCCCAAAAACACCATATCTTACCGGTAAGTTATAGTGTAAAAAGCCTATATATCTTAGAACGCAACATCTTACACATAATTTATTAAATAATATCCTAATTTTCAAAAAACACCATATTTTACCGATAATTTATAGTGTAAAAAGCCTATATATCAGAGAACGCAACATCTTACAAGTAATTTATTAAGTAAATAGCCTAATTTTCAAAAAACATCATATCTTACCGGTAAGTTTTAGTGTAAAAAGCCTATAAATCTGAGAACGCAACATCTGACCCATAATTTATTAAGTGAATAGCCTAATTTTCCAAAAACATCATGTCTTGCCGGTAAGTTATAGTGTAAAAAGCCTATATATCAGAGAACGCAACATCTTACAGGTAATTTATTAAGTAAATAGCCTAATTTCCCAAAAACACCATATCTTACCGGTAAGTTATAGTGTAAAAAGCCAATAAATCTGAGAACGCAACATCTTACCCTTAATTTATTAAGTAAATAGCTTAATTTTCCATAAACACCATATCTTGCCGGTATGTTACAGTGTAAAAAGCCAATATATCGAAGAACGCTACATCTTACCCATAACTTATTAAGTACATAGCCTAATTTTCCAAAAACACCATATCTTACCGGTAAGTTATAGTTTAAAAAGCCTA